CTGAGGTAAAGAGGAACAAGGCTGCACCAGCAGCTTGGAGTCAGGGTTCTTACCCCCCTTCTGCATGCAGCTAACTGTGTGCTCTTAGTTAAGTCTTCCCACAGCTCCAAGCTATGGGTTTCCCATCTGTAAAACGAACGGACTGAATTACACCTGTGGTTTTCGCACACTTTTAAGCAGTGGAGCAACTCCTGGTGAACACTTTTTTCAGACAACAAATGTAGACTGGGCCAGGAGAGGTACCTGAACCGCACCTGTGCCTGTGGGGTTCTTCAGCTGCTGCCCCTTACAGCACACTCCCCATGCCTGCCCCCCCCCCCCCCCCCCCCCCCCCCCGCCCAGCATCTCTGGGGCTCCTCTGCTCTGAGAGGAGGGTCAAATCCACTGGCCTAGATGATCTCAAAATTCTTTACTTTCTTTTTTTAGAGAGAGTTGTTTTTTTTTTGTTGTTTTGTTTTGTTTTTGCTTTTGTCTTTGCTATATGGCGCATATGTTTGTTGGAGAGACAGAGAGACAGAAAGTGAGAAATCACCTCCCAGAGGCGATGGCCACGCTGCAATCCCTTCTCCTCCATTCTCCTCTCAGGATCTTAGGCACACACATACATACATGCACCTGGTGTGAGTTTTAAGCTGCCTGGTTTGGGATTCGAACCATGGTTGACTACATGGGGGTCCAGCAACAACCATTATGCCATCTGCTGGTCTCCTTTTTCATTTTCTTAAGAGAGATTTTTGCTACAGGGCACGTGCACTTGCCAGAGAGACAGAGACAGAAACCACAATCTTGTGCACTGTTCTCTGCCTGGGCACCTTTTTTTTTGGGGGGGGGGGGGGGGTTTTTGCTATAGGGCACGAGCGCTTGCCAGAGAGACAGAGAGATAGAAAGTGAGAAATCACCCCTCAGGGGGGATGGCCATGCTGCAATCCACTCTCCTCCATTCTCCTTTCAGGATCTTGGGCATGCATGCACATGCGCCCGATATGAGTTTAAGCCAGTGGGTCCAGGATTGGAACTGCAGTTGATCACATGGGAATACAAGGATGTAGCCATTAAACCAATTGCTGGTCCCTGGGCACCTCTTTTGTTTGTTTTTGCTATAGGGCATGAACATTGCTAGAGAGACAGAAAGCCAGAAAGCAAGAAATCACCCCCCTGGGGGATGGCCACGTCACAATCCCTTCTCCCTCATTCTCTTCTTGGGATTTTGGGTACGCCCACACATGCATCTGGCATGAGGTTTTTTTTTTTTTTGAGAGGTTTTTGCTATAGGGCACGTGCACTCGCCAGACAGACAGAGGGAGACAGACAGACAGAAAGCGAGAAATCACTCCTCAGGGGGGGATGGCCATGCCACAATCCCTTCTCCTCTGTTCTCCTCTCGGGATCTGGGGCACGCACACACACACACCCAACATGAGTTTTAAGCCACTGGATCCGGGACTTGAACTGCGGTTGACTACGTGGGAGTCTAGCGACATAGCCATTACGCTAACTGCTGGTCCCACATCTGGCATGAGTTTTAAGCCACCAGGTTCAGTACTCGAACCGTGGTCAACTACGTAGGAGTCCAGCAATGTAACCATTACGCCATCTGCTGGTCCCTAAGAAGTGCTTGTTTCGAATCCAGCTGATTCTTGGTTTATTCTGCCTCTGGAGAATATAATGCCACGGTGCCCTGTGATGTTCATGGAGGGATGCTGCCTAGTGCTGTGGTTCCACCCCCGTAGCTAGGGCTTCGGTATTACAGTCTACAACCCTGAGCCCGAGAGATTACGGCAATGTGGAGCAGCAGCAGTCACCGTAGGAACAGCGCCATCCACAGCCACGTCTGTCTTGCTGGATGAAGATGACCCTGTTGCTAGTGATAGTTTCGTGTGTGTGTGTGTGTGTGTGTGTGTGTGTGTGTGTATGCAGCTGCCATTTTCCCTTTCCTCCTCCTCACCCGTTTGTTCACTAATTCACAGACACTTACTAATTACCAACTTCTGGATCACACATTGTCTATCGGGAGGACTGACAATGAATAAATAGGTCAACAAACAGCCAAGTGCTCACACATGGAGATAGTGATTAACGGCAGTGGTGGGAGGTCTTACTGAAGATGGCAAAGAGGAGCCGATGTGCCGAGAGCTGAGGAGAAGTGCCCAGGCAGAGAGCAGTGCATGAGGATCCTGCAGTGGACGGCGCTTGCCTGGTGTGCCCCAGGACTGGGAGCCCTGCCAGGGCTGCTACACAGAGCGGGAGCCAGAGGGAGTGCAGTCCTGGCTGCCTGGCCCTGAGACTGGGTGCAGGGTGAGCCTGCCGGGAGTGGGTGGCCCATCCTGGAGGGAAGGTTTGCGTATTTGACCCTAAATGGCAGAGGCGGTTTATGCTGCAGAATATCAATGAATTATGTGAACAATTCATTCCCCCCCCCTTTCCTTGGCTGTGAGTTCTTGGCCTGTGGGGAGCAAGTCCAAACTGGCAAAAGGATGAGGTTGGGAGAGGAGACTGGGCGAAAGAAAGCTGAAGAGGAGGAGGAAAAGGCGGTGCATGTTCTGGGCTTGGCACCCAAGGACCTGGGTGTGCAGTGTGGCTCTGGACAGGTTACTTAGCCCCAGGTTCCTCATGTGAGACCAAGGATCCCTAGGTCTCCCTGAGAGATGGTTGTTGAGAATCAGTGAGATGACATATGAGACTGGAATACTGGAACTGCCCCTAAAGGGTAGCTGCTATTGTTCAAAGAGTGGGGTGAACAGACAGGAAGACAATTTAGGTGGTAGAGGAGATAATAGCCAGTTCATTCAGTGTTTTACAATTTGGAAATCCCTTCACTCAGAGGAAAGGGAGCCTATACCTATACCTCTCTGTAAACTTCATTCCTGAAGCAAACCAGCCACAAATAATGTCAATAACAGTGATAATATTACACTTAAATGCTTGCTTTTTAAAAAAATTAGCTATAGGGCACATGCACTTGCTGAAGAGAGTGAGAGTAAGAGAGAGAGAGAGAGAGAGAGAGAGAGAGAATGAGAAAGCATGTCCCAGAAGGGATGGCCACACCACAATCCCTTCTCCTCTATTCTCCTCTTGGGATTTTGGGCATGTATGCACACACATCGGGTGCATTTTTCAAGCCTCTTGGTCCAGGACTTGAACTGTACAGTCACCCACAAGGGATCCAGTTGCCTTAACCACCATACCATTGGCTGGCCCAAATGTTTACTTTTAATGTTCACCCTGTGCCTGGTCCTGTCCTAGGTACTTTACATCTATTCACTCATTTAATGGTCACAGCGACCTAAGAGGTAATAGGTACTATCATGATCCTATTTTACGAAAGCAGGAACTGATGCACAGAGAGGTTAAGCGACTGGGTTAAGGTCACAGTACGTGGCAGGGCCAGGGTCAGAGAGCTAACTATTGCCAGGCTCTCTGCTAATGTGCAGGGCTCCAGAAAAGGAAGACACACACCTGCTGTCAGTGGGCTCACAGACCTCACCTCATGGACGCAAGTTGTTCGTGCCCAAGGCGCCTGTAACCATGGCAAACGTGCTAATGGAACAGAGACAAGCTCTGATCATTCACCCAACGTGTAGTAAGTACTGTGTGCCTAAGGAGCTGGGGACGAGTGGTGAGCAAGACCGACATGGTGGTCCCTGCTCTCAGGATGTACCCCCTAGAAGGGGAGACACGCAACAAGCCCAGGTTTACAAATAAGCATTTTACAAATAAGTAATGTAATGAATAAGGGGTAAACGCAAAAGTGAAGGTTGCCATGAGAATATGTGTATGTCAAGGGCTGGGAAAGACCTTACGGTTGTGTAAGAACCGAGTTAGAAGTTCATACACACGCGGAGGCCCCTGTATTGAAGACATATAATTAAGAATGCAGTATTAAAGAGGGGCAATGGGCAGGTGATGAGCTCCTGAAACCGTCAGCCATAATTACTCCGGAGTGCACTTACACTCCCTCTCCTGGCTGCTTATTAGTGTCTCTGCCAGAGGTGAGCAGAGAAAAGGGCTCTTTTTGATTTTGTTACAACTGGTGAAAGCTTTGATGCAAAGAATATGAGGCCCCTGGCTGGAGGGCTATTCCTTTCTTGGATTTCATTTTTGGCCCCACATCTATATGCTAAACCCAAGGCTGAGAATTGCTCCACAGGGAGAGACTCATAGCTAAGGGCTCTGCATGTGCTTATGATTGCATGCCTGGGGCCAGACAGATGTGGCTGGGTCACCAGACGACCATCTAAGGGCTGGGCACCACGGATGAGTCACTTTCCATCTCTGGGTCTCAGTTTTCTCATCTGTAGAATGCTGTGGCAGATACTGTAGGTGGGCTTACCCGACAGCCCTACTCGGCTTCTTCTCCTACCTCTACTAAACAGGTCAAACCCCAAAACACTCATATTCTAGGCCTCCCTCGCAGATAGGGGTGCCCAGGTGTCAGAGTTCTGGACAGAAGTCTCTGAAGTGACTTTCATGAACATTCCTGCCAATATTCCTGGGCAGGAAGAGGCTTTTTGCCCTTTGCTCTTCTCCCTTTCTCCTGTTCAAAAGGTAGACTTCCAAAAAAAATCATTCTGTGACCATGAGGATGAGGCACAGGAAGAGAGAAAAAGTCAGGTTCTTTGATGACATGGCCTCAAGCAGCCAATTGTACCAATTCTGAATGTCTTGTTATGTAATAGACAGACAGACAGACAGAGAGGTAGAGTGGTAAGTGAATGAATCCTTCACTTCTTTAAGCTACTGTTTACCAGGTTTTCTTTTCTTTGCAGCTTAATTCATTTCTGAACTGACATAAAGAGAGAAAACAGAACCTGCTTCATGGGCTGTTGTGAGGATTAAATGAGATGGTGTCGCATACAGTACAAGACTCATGGCCCAACACACAGTGAACCTTCAGTAAGGGGTGGTCTGTATGTTGACACTGCTGATGTGGGGACCGATGTGGGGACAACCTGCCTTCCCTTTGGCAAGTCACTGGGTGGAATGTGGGGGGCAGGTCCTACCTCGATCACTGAAGTCATCGACCAGCACAATCTCGGCGACCAGCTCCGGGGGCGAGCGGGTCAGTACGCTGTGGGCGGTGCGCAGGAGGGGGGGGCAGGCCCC